ATATATATATATATATATATTGCGGGGTCCTGACGGAGTGTGGCAAACGACCTGAAGACGGATCCGCATCGTGACAACGGATTCGTCAAAAAACAGGCCTTATAACCGCCAAGCGCCTGGCCTCTATATATACGTATATGTGCACATGACGTGTATATGCACATGCATATGCATATGTGTATGTATATTTAAATGTTAATGCAGATGTAGATGTGTGTGTATATATTTACAATATATGTATATGTACATGTATGTGTATAAGTATATGTATATGCCTATGTAGATGTAGATGTATATGTATATGTATGTAACTAAAGAAATAAACAAAAAATATATGGACACACCCCCATGACCTACCTCGGTCTCTTTTCCATTGTAAATACCGTTTTGCATAATCTTCATGGATAATCTCACGTCACGTATCTGTACAAACCCACGGAACTTGTGATCGTGCGCACTCATATCAGTTCTACGCTTCATATGGGTATAATGTGTGTAAGCAGCAACAAGAAACATGAACAGATACCACGTCACCCAAGTCCTGCACAGTCATGTTCGCTTCAGGCTTAGTGCATGTGTACCCAAGAGCAAAAAATATCTAAAGAGATTATACGACGGAACCCAAAAAACAAAAATCCAAAACCTCTGTAGCGTGCTTAAAGCTTTTGGATGTTTTGGTTTTCAAAGTTTTTTTTTGGTTTCGCCTCAACGAAACCATGCGTTGTTTTGGTTTTGCCATTAGAACCAAAAAAACCCTAATTAGTTTTTGTTGTATCCAGGACCATTCCAGTGGTTCGGTTGGCCTTAGCCAGCATCCGGGCCGGGTTGTAATCAGCGATAGGATGCGCCGTATCATCTGCCCAGGTCAGATCCCTAAGCATGATCGGCTCCCCGTTTTTGCCATCGGCAAATGTCCAGCCTGACATACGATGCCAGATCCTCCCCGTCAAGCAATTTTGAGATCCTTCCCAAGACCCTGGAATACACAAACGAGAACACAGCGTCTTCGAAGCTCTCTCCGAGCCTGCTGCCGGCACGGTTTGCCGACAGCCTTTTGTCCTGTGGAATTTTGCGACATGAACCACGTTCTGTGGTGGATATCGCAGATTGAAGCTCTCAGTCGTGTGGATACTCCCGCTTCATGAAGAACACCGCCCTCCTTGATGGTCTGTAGCAGCATTGTATTGAAGTGTGTATATGTGTGGATATATATATATATATGTATCTACTTCTACGCCTACGCATACGTATGCCTCTACGTATACATGTATGCATAGGTATAGGTATGGGTATGAGCACGTGTATGTGTATGTGCAGGTGTATGTGTATGTATATTTGTATTTGTGTTTGTATGTAAAGGAAATATGCTTGTGCGGATTTGCGTGCACCACATGAGACTTTTTCGAGCGAAGCCTGGGCAAGTCTCTCTGTACACGGTGCCATCTTTACCTGAAGGAGCCAGCGGTCGATGCAACTGTTGGGATCTTAGCCGTGACTCCACATGTGTATGTGTACATAAATACACAAGCGATACGAGACCCTTAGACATGCTGCGACATCCGTTGATCATAGGTCCGAGGCCGAGGATCTCGCATGTACGGAGGTGCGCTGTTGACCGGCATTGCTCACTCGTCAGGGCCTCTGTCGCTCGGTCAGGTTCGGTGGGAGGTCCCGCAAGCGGAGGCAAACTCTCGGCTCTGGCAGGTTTGCTCCTTGTGTTTAAGAGCATTTCTCTCTGCAAAAAAAGGCTCCTTCAGCCTGAGTGGCGGCAGTTTCTCTGCAGGCCAGGGGCGGAGAAAGTGTGTGCAACAACACCAGGTTTCACAGTCTTCCTGGATGCAAAACCTTAACCCGCAGGTAGCAATCCAAGAGCGTCTGCATTCGCTCGAGCATTTGACGTGGAGGTGCCCTGAGAGTCGGATAGTGGAGAGGTTGTTTTGACGTCGCAGAATTGCAAAAGTGAATGGCAGGAGCAGGCACCTGGTCCTATTCGACAAGTTCGCGGTAGGTCCGGTGCCCAAGTCACGAAGCCTTTGAGAATGGAGGTTATCGGGAAGCAGGAGTATGTCGGAAGGCGTGATGGTCCTTACGAGCTCTTGGTCGAGGCCGAGTTCGCCACCCAGTTCTTCGGTCGGGCTCAAGCTTGCAGATGCGGCTGATGTGGTGATGTCTTCTGAGACTGCCGGTGCTAAGTGCCGACTACAACGGCTTTCCAAGATACTCGCAGTACGATTGGGACGAGCCAGAGAATTGCCGCCATGTGTTAAGCATGTTGGTGGCAGCTTCGTATGGACTTCAAATCCTGCCAGTTGGGAACACGACCAGTTTGAGGGACCTCAGACAGTGGGCTCTGCGGCTTTGGCCTCAGTCGTTGAGATTCGGCACTTGTTTCATGGAGCTTCATGTCTCAGGACTAGGCATGGGGCATGGCTTGCTTTGTTTGCTGCTTGCACTTGGGATGTCGCAGGTTTATTGAACTGGGCAATGTGATGTGCGATGTACCAAGCGCGGCATCTGCAGCATGTGGTTGTGCATTGCCCAGATCTTCGTACGAAACCTTCCGCCTGGTGTGGAAGGGCACCAGTTGAAGCACCTCTTTGAAGAGGCAGGCAGTGCAAGCGACATGTTCCTGACACCATGTTCGTGCACTGTCCAAGGCTGGGCAGATAGCCAACATCCACGCAGCCACCTCTGTTGCATTGCACGTCATCACACGCTTGGCGTCGGCACCAGAGCAAAGGCCAGCACCAGGTGCACACCTTCCTAGAGCATGAAAATGTGAGGCACATAATGATATAGTGTGGCATGCAGAATGCATCTGCCGCAGATGCAGAAACGACATGACATACACCAGCTGAGCTGGCTAGTTGGTGTCAATGTCGGACTGGGTAAGGCAAGATCTCGGAGCTTGGAGCTCAGGTGGATCAAGGCCCGTTGCCTACTGCGACCATTGGCTATGTGCGACAGGCTTGCTACCCGTCAGCCTTTTGAACGGTGTCGACAGTGTTGTCAGTGCTACTGAACGAGGACAGCGCATGAGAGCTGCTTTCCTTCGTTCTGTTGTATGTGCGTGTCTATGTGCTGCACTAGCTGTTGCACACTCGCTCGTGCGGTTCATACCAACGCAGGCGAGTCAAGCAAACGAAAGCCAAGCGGCTTCTTTGCTAGCCCCTGCTTGGGATATACCATTATCCATGATCGCCAGGGAGTCGCCTTCGATGCCGCGGAGATGTTCCACGGTCGATGGCTTTTGGGACAAGAGCTGAAGGCCAAGCACAACGCAAGACATTACCAGAGTCTGCTTTCGGTGTGTGCCCGCCACTGGGAGGTGACCGTCAAAAGTGGCGACATGATGTCCACATCAGCAAGAAAAGTCGATGACGACTTCTGGCGCGATGAGTCGCTGTCTTGAAAGATCTTTGAAAGTCCTATACAGTGCTATCATGACTTCTATGTACTGAGTGAGTGTAGTTCAAGATGACGCAAACCTGTTAATTTATACAGAGCCGATACAGATTCAGCAATCCAAGGCTGCGCGAGATGCGACAAAAGGGTCAGCTAATGCGAAATGATCCATGGTTAATGATGCAGTTCGCCGGACAGGAGGCAGGCTCTGTTCTGCTTGCAACTGTTAGGTCCACGCATGTATTTGCAGGCTCAGCTTTGTTTTGATGCGGTCCGGTCGCTTTTGACGAAGGGTTTGGAAATCGACAGATCCAGATATGTTGCGCTTGCTGCAAGCAGTGGGATCAGCGCAGCAACCGGTCTTCGCTGTCCGGGCTAGGCAGGATGGGCAGACTGGACACGAGCTGGAAAAGGACGGATAGCTTTGGGCGAGTCGGAGCTGTTCAGGAGTCGGTGTCTGTGAAGTGAGTCTGAGCAGGAAAGGGGAAGAAGGGATATGCGAAAGGTGGTGGCTTCATGGGCAAAGGCGACGGGCCAGCAGGCGGCTCTAGATTACCTTGTCGAAGAAATTGCGTTTTGCTCAGTAGGCTTTCAACCGTGACAGGCATGCGGAGCGCGCTTGCCTGGGATGATTGAGTGAGGGCCATGTGAACCAGCATATCCCATCGTAAACCAGACATAGTCAGACCTTGCTTACTCTTGTCTCGCGGTTTCATCTCCAGCTAGTCAACTGACCGTAGAAGTGGGCGAGTATGCCACTTTGTACGGATTTGTCTCAAGATGTCTCATCGCGTCTCACTGTTCATGCACCCCGGCAGGGCAATTACCAATCCTCTGGGACAAGTGCTACCGTTAATAAATGGTGAAGACGTAAGATTCGAAGGCTTCTTGCTGACTTGCTGTTTCAGCAGATAGATTGCAGTTGTAAGGACATGTCACATGTCTGTTTTACAGCCAGGCCGTTTGAGGCTCCAGTCAGTTTGTTAGCAGAAGTACCACTGTCTTCTGCCATCATTGTCTAGCATCGTCCGTGTGAAGGCTAATGTCTCCTTGTTATGCTCTGACAGGCACACGGCACTCATCAGTAGGCACACAAGCCTCATGCAAGGATGAGTTTGTATATGCCGTACATCCGACATGCAAAAGAGTGATGGAGGCGGTCTGCGTTCTGCGAGGCCCGAAGGCATGGCTGTCTCACAAAACCACAGTTCACCAGGCCGAGCTCACACATGGGGCCAGGGCCAGTCGTAGGCTGAGCATGAATGCCTGATAGCTTCGTGCGCGGCTCGGCGGGGCGATGCGGGGCGCTAAGCGGGCGTTGGCTCAGGAGCAGGTCCGGCGCATCGATCTCGAGGATGTGGAGGTCTTCATGTCGCTGCAGGACGTGAACCTGCTGCCTTTGAGGTGCTTCCGACATTGCAATTGCTGAAGTGCTTGGTTTGCTCCACTGGGAAATATCGTCTTAAAGGACCCGCACAATTTTTCTATTAGTGGTCCGGACAAGACTGGACGGATCGTCTGATTCACGCAAAGGCAGGTGTTGCCGCGGCCTGTGCTGGAAACCATCAGTACTGGGTTTGAACATGCACCAATTTGCGGAAGGCATGGAGGACACAGGTCAAACAGTCGGTGCAAGTTTGGAATCAGTCAAATCCAGAGTCCACAGACATTGGCTTCAAGATTAATATGCTTGGAAGACTGCAGAAGTCTCAGTTTACATTTATTTTTTAGTCACTGATCCAATCGGTACCACAGAGGGCTCAGGAGGCTCAAATGCAACATCCCCCACGGGTTAAATCTTCGTTTGTTGGTGATAATGGTGTAGGAGAGTGTAGGATTCATGTTGGTGAGAGTAAGACTGGCGAGTGTATATGTTGAGCATCTATTATTCAGGGCAGACTAGTGAACAAAACCCCTACATAACATGGTTCCAAACAGCACCTGGGATAAGAGTACGCAGCACGGTGTGCACTTTGGCATAGCTGTCCAAGAAGACGGGTCACAAGCCATTTGCTGAGCTTGTTGCTGACGGTTGTGTTCCGTGCCTATTTTGAGTTACGTGGACTCGGTATCCAGTGCGCAGGATGGTTTCGTGCTTGAGCACCATTCGATGACAAGCATGGTATACGAGGAGGCTCGACGGGAGTAAGTACCCTTAACTCTGCGTTGCTGCTCCCCAGACAGGTGACACTTCTGGACTGGCAGCACAGCCGGGCCTCAATTTCTGGGTTCCGCTTACATTTTGCTTCGTGCATTGGCGTTTCAGGCTTGGTTTGCCCCAGGGAAATCCTGGAGAAGCCTGGAGGTCGGCGCCTTGTCTCTCAAGATATCTGTTGTTCTCCGAGCTGCACCAACCCAGCAGTCACAGCCCCGACTCCCAACATGACAGCGAAGGCAAGAGTTCTACAGGAAACGGCCTCCGCCACCAACAGTTGTTTCTCCAAGCTATTTCACTGTCTCGTCACCATTCAGCCACATTGAGCAGTGTATCCCTTTGCCTTTTCTTGGCGATGCAAATGTTATGTAACTTCTGTCAAACTCTGATAAACTTCGACATGCAGTCGGAGCAGAGGTCAGCCTCCAGCGCGCTCTGACCATTCGGATGCTGACATTGAAAAGAGGAACTCGGACAAGCTATTTATAAAGAGTGCAGCTGATTGCGGTGCCTAGAGCCCGCAATTCAAGCACGACACCGGCTACCTGAAAACCTTTCTGCCAAGCTTATCTCTTGCCCAGTCTTCCGGCTAAAGGGAAGCGTGGATCTGCCACATGGACCTTTGCGGCATGACCGCGAGGTCGACGACAGCAAGTTGTGAGCATTGTCAAGCAGGACTTGTCGAGCGCATATACTATACAATTCCGGGACTTAAGCGATGCCCAGGAGCACCGCTATTACCGTGACCTGTACATTCTGCTTGCGAGGGAGGACGGACATGAGGCATTGCCTACGGCGGAGAGTCACAAAGCGTTCCAGACTTATGCAGCGACAGAAGAGGACCGTGTAAGTTTTGCACAGGCAGGATACGTCATGTATCAAGTCCACAAGGGGAAGAGGACTGGCCGAATACCGGTGGTTCTATTCCATGCCTGTGGTAGCGAACCATAGCTGCTATATGGTCAGCTGGCAAGCAGTTGTCGTCAGGAAGGATGCCGTGCCGTCGGCGTACGTCGAGGTCAGAGAAGATGTGAATCACAGTCCATGTCACAGATCAGGTTGTGTGCTGGCAGAATTTCAGTGGAGGTCAAGCAGATTTTTGTTGAACCGGAGCTGCGCAAGCGTGGTTTGGGCAAGCTGTTGCTGGACGGCATGATGCAGGCAAAGTGCTGAGTTGAGGCCGTGTAAAACGCTGCCCCGTGCTCTTTTCCGGTGTTCTGGCTGCAGTCTCACGCTTTAGAAGTCCGTGTCATCCTGTTCATAAAGCGATGGCGAGGTCGTGGCCGGTTGTTTTCGTTGGCTTGCAGTTGCAATGAGCTCCTTTCTGTTGTGCACTTCCGAGTGCCTTTCTGCTAAAGCCTGCAGATGGGCACATATGATGGGCAGGGGCTTGCCGGTTTGCTTGAATGTGAACGAACATGGTATCAGTTGAATCGTGTAGATTAACATCAGGTTGGTGTGTTTTGCTGATTTATTGGAAGGTGAATCAGTTTTCGTTCGTGAACATGGGTGCTTTGCACATGAATGCATCATCAAACATACGGTGCAGACCCTACATGCATCTTCTCAACATGTATGTGGATCAATTTATACCCTACATGCATCTTCTCAACATGTATGCGGATCAATTTGTAACAATTTGTATATTTCTATTTGTATGTGTGCTTTGCTATATGCACCGCATGGATGTATGCTGTATGCTTAGAGATGAGTCCGTCTGTCATCAAGTTTCTGCCTCCTCTGACACCCCAGCAGTGTCCCTGTTGCAGGCCGTTGAAGGCCAGCAGTGCCACAACATTCGTCTCAGCGCAGAGCACTCAGCTTCCGTCAAGATGCATCATTCGCAGCTTTCGTTTTTTTGGGAAATCACAATTCTATGATTTTGGGAAAGACTTGTTGCAGCTGCCAGGTGATCGATTTGAACGAGGCGGCCACTAGGTGGTGTTACCCTCAAACCTCCTGCGAGTTGTCGTGCTGGGGTTGGCAAAGATTAGCGCATCCTGCTTCGCAGGTATCGCGTGCAAGGCTTCGTTATGATTGGACTCGTTTGGGAATATGTCGGTCCGGCCGACAATTCACATCTGGTCGCTTACCAGGCCCTTTTGAATGTTGTCGCGGTCCTGACCTGCACCTGTATGATTTTGCAAGGTTTAGATAGCGCCGAATTCACTTCTGGAGCAGGTCATGCAGAAATACTCTGTTGCCCCTCCACAACCTGTGTCGTCTGCTCAGTAACTGGTGCAAGCTCGACAATCGCACACAAGTGTGTGAAGCGGCTTCTTCGGGTTCGGTTCGATTGTGTAATGAAGCGCGGAGTGAATGGGGTCTGACTCCAACCCTCGTCCATTGCGGCAATTGCTTCTGGTCAGCATGCAGACTTTATGCGATTTGGACTTTTTGTTCTAGCTGTCACGTGTCCGCGCATCACACGAGGGTGGATCGTGCAACCTTTTTCCGGTCTGAGATCATTGGTGAGGCCAGGCGAGGTTCAGTGTTTGTTGAGCAGCAAAATTGGGTCAAAAGCCAGTGCCATTCAGGTTGTGACCATTACCTACCCAGATGGCTCTGGTCCATTTGACGTGGGTGAGCCCAGTGATATGAAGTTTTCGATTGGACAGTGGGTCGGGATTACACTTCTGTCATCTTCTGTCCATAGCCTAGGTCACGATCAGAGGCTGGATAGAGTCATGACCTTGGCTGACTTTCGGTGAGTGGCAGCATTACATCCTGTGTGCTTTCGGCTTTGCCTCGTTCTGAGGTCGGACGAGCTGCACATGGTGGACTCAAGGAGCCTTTCCGCTTGGAAGGCACTTGATTGCGTCGTGGCTTCCGTGATGGGCTTGTGACCTTTTGTGAGGGCAGCAGCTTCACCGATCTCTTTGACTTCAACTTGGCTTTGAGGGATGGGCGGGCCACATTTCACAGGAGACGGGTTCCGGGAAGGAAACAGGCCGTGTTCTGTGTCGCCCTAGAAGGAAGCTTTCGCTTCTGTTGCGGGACGTCGAGATGACCAAGGCTGTCGTCAGGCAGGCCAAGGTCGGCACCCGTCTGGCATGTCAAGGTTGTCTTTGAATCTGTCAGAGCCGAGAAACCTGCAGGAAAGAGAAAAGGAGCAGCGAGCTTCCAAAGTGAAGAAGGAGCAGCCAATGCAAGCTAGTGCTCTGAGCAGACAGCCTTGAGACGTGATGACATGTGATGACCGCGTTGTCAGATCTCCCAGGCAATAGATGTTCTGCCGAGGAAGCTGGAACGAACAATGTGAACGAGAGGGACTCAGAGAGAGAGAGAGAGAGCGTGTATAGAAATCTGTGTTCCGAAGGATGGTTGTTCAGGGGCTTGGCACCGCTTGTGATTCGGAAAGGTAGTGCTTGAAATACGAAGAAAGCAGGGGGCTAACCGTCCATGCAAGTGCCAGCCCAAAGACGAGACTTGCATATACTTGCATTTTAAAAACTGACATCCGGTCGGCTCACCCGAACGTACCTGCAAACCTGGTTTTACTCCATAGTGTTTGTCAAGACGCCTCAAGATCCAAAAGAACCAGATGAATCACAGTCCATGATTTTCGAACTTTTCCGGTAATACCTCAGAGCAAAGTTGTTTCACACAAAGTTCAGGCACCCAGTTCGATAAACGAAGCATGATGCGCAGCAAAACAATGAGAATGAACAAAGGAAAAGACAACATGACAATCCGCTCGATACGATGTGCCTTAACGGGGGTGTTAGCTTTTGTGTTTCTGTGTGCATGCATGTGGACGCGTGCGCGTGCGTGTGTGCATGGGTGTGCGGGTGTGGGGTTGTGTCGGTGTGTGGGTGTCGGGTGTGTGGGTGTGTGTGTGTGTGTGAACTTCCCGGACACATGGGAACAGAGGATCATTCCTACATGTTGTCATTGTACATTTCAACTCAAGATTTGCCTGTTTTGCATGAAGCGCTAATCAAAACAGCAGGGGAGTGGTGCATGCTGTCGGAGTCACCACTCAACGAAGACGCTCCTTCAGCATGGTGATATCAACCTGGGACACTAGGTTGACGTACCTGCATGGCAGCCCCCTGTGGTGCCGCGATTAGACAAAACGGACAGGCCCCCTGCGGTGTCCAAATTAGTTTTTTCAACAACCGTTGCAAGTGTTCGACTTTTCACAACAGCAACCCTGCCATCCTGCTTCGCTTTTCCTGACCTCGTCCCTTGCCGGAATCCATCTGTGTGTGTGTGTGCCACTCCTGTTCCGAAGGATGTAGGTGCTTGTAAGGTACTTCAGCAGGGGGCACGGCGCCACAGTTCGAGCCATGCCAACGAAGCTGGGAACGGAAGCACTCACGGACGCTTGAGTGTGTACCTGCATTCGTAGCCAGTGGGCCATTTGTGGAACGGGGATAATCAAGACGCAGTGATGTAATGAACAAATTGGCACAAACAGCATCCATCAAAGTAAGGATGACTTGTCTGCAAGTGTGTTTCCCAACAGTAATTTTAACGCTACGCCGCCCGCCTCGGCTGCTGAGGGCCAAAAGGCACGGAAGCTGCGGCTTTGCATGGGTAGTCT